GCTGGCATATAATGACAAACTATGACAACACTGTGGAGAATGAGTATTCTGGAACACTGAATTGTGCTCATGAGGAACCTGTACATAGATCAACAGAACAAGGGAACATTGAATGGTTTAAAATCATGAAAGATGTGCACCAGGGTTGTATTCTTTCACCATACTTATTCAGTCTGTATGAGCAAATAGTCCAAGAAGCTGGATTACAGGAAGAGGAATGTGACATCAGAAACAGAGGAAGACCCATTAACAACCTGTGATATCAAGATAATACAACCTCACTTGTTGAAAGTGAAGAGGATCTAAAATACTTACTGATGAAGATCAAAGACCATAGCCTTCAGTATAGGTTGCAACTCAATATAAAGAAAACAAAAACTTCACCACTGGATCTACACATCATGATAATTGGAGAAAAGTTGAAGTTATCAAAGACTTCATTTTGCTTGGATCCGCCATCAACACTCACAGAAACAACAGTCAAGAAATTAAACAATGTTTTGCATGACGCACATCTGCTGCACAAGACCTCTTTAAAGTGTTCAAGAGCAAAGATGTTCGTTTAAGGACTAAGGTACACTTGACCTACACCACGGTAATTTCAATGAATAAGGATGACCATAAAAAATTGATGAATTTGAGTTACAGTGTTGGGGAACAGTATTAAAAGTACCATGGACTGCCAGAAGAACAAACATATCTGTGTTGGTAGAAGTATAGCCAGACTGTTCTTTAGAAGCCAAAATGGCCACTGTCTCTTCTACTTAGGACATGACATTAGGAGGTACCAGTCCCTGGAAAAGGATATTATGCTTGGTAGTGTAGAGGGTCAGCAAAAAAGGGGAAGACCACTAACAAGATGGATTGGCACAGTGGCAGCATCAGTGGGATCAAGCTTAACAAAGACTATGTATGAAGATGGCACATGATCAGCAGTGTTTTGTTCTGTTGTGCATTAAGTTGCTATGAGGCAGAACCACTTGATGACACCTAACAATAACACCCTGAAAAACAAAACTGTCAGTAATAGGGAAATATTCTCTACGGAATATCAGTTAATACAGCTTTTACTCAAATGTACCTATCAACCTCCAATACCAAAGATGAAGAAATTGACAATTTTTACCAACTTCTGTTGTCTGAAACTGATCAGACATGGTATCAAGATGCACTGATAATTATTGGTGAGTGGTATTGAAAGATGAAAACAAATAGGACTTTTTATTAGAATAGATGATCATGGTGACAGAAATGATGCTGGAGATATCATGATAGGATAAGACCAATAATCTACTCATTGGAGTAACTTTTTTTTCAAAACATAAATGGAAACTACACACACAGAGACCTTGCTATGTGAAACATACTGCAATCCAACAGACTCCATATCTCAAAGAGAAGATGGAGAAGGTCAGCATCATCAGTCAGAACAAGGCCAGGGGTTCACTGCAGAACAGATCAATTTCTCATAAGCAAATTCAAGTTGAAGTTGAAGAAGGTTATCCTAAATCCAGTAAAGTGAAAGTACAACCTTGAGTATATCCCACCTGAATTTACAGATCATTTCAAGAACAGAGTTGACTCACTGAACACTAAGGATTGAAGACCTGATGAGTTGTGGGATAACATCAAGAACATCATACGTGAAAGCAAAAGGTCATTAAAAAAAAAAAAAGGAAAAAAAGAACAAAATGGATGTTAGAAGAGACTGTAAAACTTTCTTAAAGTGTACAGAACCAAAAGTGAATAGAAGATTTCAAAGGTTACTTTGAGAAGACTTGACATTAGAAAACCAAGAGAATGAACATATTTGGTGTTTTTCAAGCTGAAAGAACTGGAGAAAAACTAAAGTCTCAAGTTGCAATACTGAAGGAGTTTATGGGCAAAATACTGAATGATGCAGGAAGCATCAAAAGAAGATGAAAGGATACACAGAACCACTGTGCCAAAAAAAAAAGTGTTCTAAGTCCAACCATTTCAGGAGGCAGGATCTGAACAAGAAATGATGGTATTAAAGGAAGACATGTAAGTTGTGCTTAAGGCATTGAAGAAAATCAAGGATCCAGAAATTAAGGGAGTATCAATTGAAGATTTCCAAGGAACAAATGCAATACTGGAACACTCAGTGACCTGGCCAACCATCACATGCCATTCCAAAGGAATGCAGAAATTATTGAGCAGTATCACATGCAAGTAAAATTTTGCTAAAAATAATTTTAAAATAATTGTAGCAGTATATTGACAGGGAACTGCCAGAATTTCAAGTCAGAGTAAGACAGAATGAGGAATATCGTTGTTGATGTCAGATGAAAAGATGTTTTGTGTTATATTGAATATGCAAAACGTATCAGAATACATTATGGATAACATTGTGAGGAATGGGAATTCTTGAATACTTGTGTTCACACAGAACCCGTACCCAGACCAAGAGGCAGTTGTTGGAACAGATTAAGGGGATATTGAGTTTAAAACCAGATTAGGTGTATATCAAGGTATTATCCTTTCCATCTGTATGTTGAGCAAATAATCTGAGAAAGTGGACTATATGAAGAACATGGCATCAGGATTGGAGACTCATTAACAACTTGCGATACGCATATGATACAACCTTGCTTGCTGAAAGTGAAGAGGACTTGAAGCACTTACTGATGAAGATCAAAGACTACAACCTTCAGTCTGACTTACAACTAACTGTACTAAAGAAAACAAGAATCCCACAACTGAACCAATAAACATGATCATAAATGGAGAAAAGACTGAACTTGTCAAAGATTTCATTTTACCTGGGTTCACAGTCAAGCCCACAGAATCAGCCGTCAAGAAATCACATGACATATTATACTGGGCTAATCTGTGTTGAAAGACTTTTTTTTGAAATGTTAAAAAGCAAAGATGTCATTTTGAGGACTAACATGCATTTGACACAAGCCATGGTATTTTCATTTACTTCACATGCATGCAAAAGATGCAAATAGTAAGGAAAATCAAAGAATTGATACCTTTGAATTATGATGTGGAAGAGAATACTGAAAGTACCATGGACTGCTAGAAGACTAACAAATCTGTGTTGGAAGTAGTACAAGCAGAATGCTCCTTAGAAGTGAGGCTGGCGAGACCTCAGCTCACACACTTTATTCTATAATGCATGTATTGTAAAAGATATTAATCTTTTCTAGTTTTTAATGATAGTCATTTATCTTGTGTTACACACACACACACACAAAATGAAGCGGTTTCAAGACTACTAAAAACAAATTCTCTTCGTAATTCAATCATGGATATGTACAGTAGTAAACACTTTGGGTTGTGTCCAGAGTGGGTAGGATTCCTTGCCCAGTACTTCATGGCCTACTAGGATTTTTGCCTAGTGTTCATTTACACATGTAACTTATCTGTCTCTTCATTTACCCTGTCGTTTCTCCGTCTTTTTTGTGCCAGCAACTTGCTGTGGGTTAATAATCCAAGTAACCAAACATACTGGAATGGTATCTCGGGCAGTGCTGTTCAAAGTTTAGCGTTCATAACTTACGTGGTGAGCTATCTTAAAAAGGATATCCTTGGGTTCTACCCCAGATGCTCTGATTCAGTAGATTTGTGTGGAGAGGCCCCAAAACTGCTGCCCTAAAAGAACACAAACTTTATGACTGTGAGAAATGTATTCTGTTAGTAGTCTCCATTCCTGGCCTGGATGGTTGGTTGAGATCACTGGATGTTATCTATCTGTGCTATGGATGCCTGGTGTGGTGCAGTGGGCTAAGGCGCTGGGCTGCAAAGTCGCTTTGGACTGCAAGGTTGGTGGTTCAAGCTCACCAGCTGCTCCTTGGAAACCCTATACAGGGTCGCTATGGGTCACAACCGACTTGACGACACTTAACAACAACAAATCTGTACTATAGCAAAGTAGTTACGAATCGAGCTGCTAACCTAGTCAGCAGTTTGAAACTACCAGCCATTCCACAGAAGAAAGATGAGGCTCTCTGCTTCTGTAAAGATTTACAGTCTCAGAAATCCTATGCGGTGTCGAGTCGGAACCAACTCCACGGCACATAACCACTACCACCACCACGATCTGTACTATGGAATCCTGGTGTGGGTTAATGTGCTGGACTGCAGTCACTTTGAATCACAAGGTTGGCAGTTCAAGCTCACCAGCTGCTCGGAAACCCTATCTAGGGTCATTGTGAGTCCGAACCAACTCTATGGCACTTAACAACTATCTGTACTATTAAATATATTTTAAGACACATAATTTTAGTAACTTCATTTTTATTTCTACCTAATAAAACAAGAGAGTCTGAAAAGTGTCATCAAAATTGCTTATTTTTTTCCCCAAACTTTGTCAAAACTTGAGAGGTTTCCCTATTCTGAAAGGGCAGAATGTGGTCTTTTGAGACACAAGTTCGCAAGTAAACTGTCTGCTAACTATCTGACTTATTAAAGATATCATAAACCAATTTGAGCCTCAGTTTTTTAAACTGGAGAAACCAGTACCTACTTTTCAGGGGGAGTAGGAGCATCAGAGACAGTACATACAAACTGCCTGATAGAGGCTCCATATGAGGTCAAAATTTTAAAATAATTGTTTAATAGGAATTCTAGCTGTGGCACTGTAGGATAAGCACTGGACTGCTATCCACAGGCTACCAGCTGCTCCTTGAAAACCCAGTACAGGGATCGATATGAGTTGAAACAGACTCAACAGGACTTAGCAACAACAACAACAACTAGTTGGTACTATCATAAAAGTTCTGTGACTCTGAGTATGCCCGAGTCCACATTTACACATCCCAGGGTTACATTCCAAGACAAACTCACTGCAATGCCTTCCTTCACAGCGCAGTCTTACTTCAGTTATACAAAGCAAGTCTGCACATACATGGATTATTATGACATATACAGGGGATGAAAAGAAACCAAGACGTTGGTATTTTAAATACTAGAGAGAAATGCTAAATATCTACAATGAAGTGTTGTTATCTCAGTGGAAGAACCAGGCACACTAACATGAAAAAACACATTTTATTGCACTTAAGTTATAAGAAAATAAAATTTCTAAGTGAATCAAACCATAGACACAATCCCTTTAAAGGTTGTTTTCCTCCATCATGTCAGGTTGTTACATAACTAAAATTAACCAACTTGAATCTGATTGTTTTAAATCAGACTATAAATAAAACAAAACAAAACAAAATAAACAGGAGGAGGAAAAAAAGATGGCCTAGGATACAGTGTTAAACCACTTTCACAGTTCAGCTTGAGTTGTGGCTCTTGGAGAATGAGGCAAACCATTTGACTTTTTCATTCATTTCATTTGTTTGCATGTGATGCCTTTACTACAAAAACTGAATAGTTTCTGCTTTGTCAGTTACTCACAGCAATAAAACTGTAACAGCTGTTTTCCCAAATACTGCAGAACACTGACTGACCAGGAACTTTGTGTTTTATATTTTTAAAAAATATTTTGTCAGTTTTATTATGTATGTTCATTCCATTCACCACAGCCCTCAAAAAGAAGAGTTTCTCCAGAGAACAGGCAGTAAAAGCTCTGCTCCAAGGAATGTGTTTTAATTTTTGCCCAGATAAAAGAAAATAAGCTTTGCACACACTCTCAATTCTTTACTTGCAGGCAAACTTCACTCTTTATTACCTGAAACTCTCCCATTCTCAGCCTCTTAGAGGCACAGATGGTTCAAGTTTCAGTGGCAAAAGTCTTTTTTCTGTAACCAAACTAGAGCAAATTTGGAATTCAGTCTGGGACTAAAACGTCACAGCAGAAAAAAAAAATAAAAAAAAATAATTTGCTTTTTTCTTTCTTTCATTTAGCAGCATAAATAAGTTTGGCCACTGGGAGTACAGTACAGGGGTGGGACAACAATCCCATATTTGAAGACCTACTTCTAGCACCAGCATCAAGAATTAAATCCATCTCAGGACTCACAGAACCCAGGACAACTTGCCACCTTTGAGCAACATATGCATTGCAGAGTGTATATGGAAGCAACAGTAAATAGATTAACAGAGGCTAATACTGTGATTGATTGACATTGGCAATGGTTGGCAAAGGAAAAAAAAGCTTTTCATGATAACTGTACAAAAACAATTCACAGTAAATTTTTTTTTCTTTTTTTAGCTTTTCCACTCCAGAAAAAAATGACTTTTTTTGTTGCAGATGCTCTCTAATTAGAAAGTCAACCAGTACTGTTGGTGATGTTATTGCAGCTCCTTCCTAGATCTCAGTGGTGAAAGAACAGGCTAGCAGAATCTGTAAGCATGTTTCAGAACTAACACTGTCCAATGACCACTGGAAAAGAAAATAAAGAAATAATTGCACCTGGTTTGATTTAGAAAGTCTCATTTTGCAAAGCTGCCCTCAGTCAAAAGTGAAGCCTTTTATGTGATGAGACAGCAGATGCCTCTCTTGTCAGTTATGGTTTGTCATCTCTTCCTCTTTTCCTTCCTAGTCTGTAGGTCTTTTCAATCTGTTGCCCCAAGCCAACATCCTGCACCACTGAGAACAAGGGATTTTTTCTTTTTCATTTTTTTTTTTTTTCTTTTTTCTTTTTTGGCATGGGGAAGGGCAGGGAGTATATCGTCTACACATTTGGACGAATTTCATCTTTTTGCTCTTCACTTCATGTCCACATCAAAGTCCAGCACCAGCAGCTTGGTTTCTTCAGTCCCATTCCGACTCCCAACTGCACACACCAGCTTTGTGTTTGAGGCTCTGATCCGCCACACAACTCCCCCGCTCCCCCCACTTTCCAATGTGACTAGGTTTCGAATAAATTCACCCGTTTTCAAGTCCCATAGTTTGACAGTTCCATCATCTGAGCTGGTAATTACAAAGTTCTTGTTGAACTGTAAACAGGTCACAGCACTCTGATGCTTGTTGGGACCTAGGCAAAACCAAAGGCATTTAATTGGTTAGAAATCATGGCTATGAGTTACTTACATTGTAGTTTGTAGACTTCTATATTGTTGTTGTTGTTATGCGCTGTGGAGTCAGTTCTGACGTATAGCCCCCTGTACAAGATTTCTGAGGCTATAAATCTTTTTTTTTTCAAATTTTTTTTTAATGTTTTATTGTGAGTTGTGTGATAATCTACACGGGAGAACATCAGCTTTACATTCATTCCATCATTCATCATTTCGTTGGCATAGTTATCATCCTGTCCATGTATCCTCACCCAACCAAGGGGTGTACCCTGTAAACCTGCACCCCCCTCCCACCACAGTCTTCAGCCCCTTTTCCATCTCCTGATCCCGCGCCCCCAGCCCCACCATCTCTTGACGTTGTCTTCTCTATAAGGCTATAAATCTTTATGGGAGCAGAAAGCCTCATCTTTCTCCTGCAAAACAGCTGGTAGTTTCAAACTGCTGACCCTGAGGTTAGCAGCCCAATTTGTAACCACTATGCTACCAGAGCTCCTAGACTTCTACATTTGTTGTTGTTTTTAAGTGCCATCAAGTGGGTTCCGACCCATAGCGACCGGTAGGGTTTCCAAGGAGCAGCTGGTGAGCTTGAACCGCCAATCTTGCAGTTCAAACGGCTTTGCAGTCTGGCACATTAACCCACAGTGCCACACAGGGACTTCTACATTAGGACATACAAAAATGGAATATTTAAATGCTGTGTATTTAGAGCTCTTACTCTAAGTATTTTAGGATCAGTACAGATGTAAGAAAACCTGATAGCTAGCTGTATGTAACTAAAACAGTTAACTTTCTAAAGCTCTTGTTTCCAGGAAGCTAGGGGAGTAACTAGCCATGAATGTTTTTCATCTTCTAGCTGTGTGAGCAAGAGCTTTTCTTTATGATGATGTGGATACTACAGCTTCATGGATTTGACTGATGGACAAATCAGCTTAAGAGCTCCATTCTCCTACCACTATGAACTGACCATCCAAAGGTGAAGGCCAAACAGGCAATATTCTAAACACTGAGGAAAAGACAAAACCAGGGAGTACAAGCTGCGATGGTACCCACCCAGCAGATGACCTTAAGGAGCTGCTCTGGTAGTGTAGTGGTTACGAATCGGGCTGCGAACCTTGAGGTCAGCAGTTCGAAATTACCAGCTGTTCTGTGGGAGAAAGATGAGGCTATCTGTTCCCGTAAAGATTTACAGTCTCGGAAACTCTGTACAGGGTCGCTATGAGTCGGAACCAACTTCATGGCACACAACAGCAACAACCAGATGATCTTATTGAGAACATATCTTCCAAAGCCTATGACTGATAAAAAAGAAGTTAATCAAGCAATAAGACGTTAACATAGTTGTGCCTCATCTAATGAGTATTAGTGATTTTCATACAAGTTTCTTTCTGTATTTTAATAGACACGTTCTCATCCCTGTTAAATAATTGGTTAATGATCTAACTTAGGACAAAGCAATTTTCTATGAGATTAGAGACGCTTTTGTCTGTTTGACTAATAAAGTAGCCTTTTAATTTAGAACTGGAGTAAAAACTCAAAATAAAATTATTCCCAAATTAAAATACGTTGCTTTTGTGGTACAGTCAACGTCTTTCTTCACACTGTTTTTTAGGGATAGGTAATTAACTGTACACGTTATTGTTGTTGTTAGGTGCCATTGAGTCAGTACCCACTCATAGCGATCCCATGTACAACAGAACGAAACAATGCCCAATCGAGAAAGTGATTAAACTATTTTATATTAAAAACAAAATCTAAAATACTTTTTCAAGTTGCCTAGTTCTATAAACCAGAGTGGAAATACTTAAAAGCTTACGAGAGATAAGCATTTTATATGGCATTAACTCTTTTGATGATGTTAAAGGTCCATGTTTCTTTTTTCATTTTCTAATGACCACAACGGCAGTCAACACTTACCTTGCAATGTTTGTAAACACTGTCCTGTTTTAATATCCCAGATTTTAACTGTAGAATCTGCATTCCCAGAGACAAGGATATTGTCTTTGAGTTCCATTCCACTTGTTAATGATTGGTGCCCTGTTAACGTGTGAATGCAATTCCCTGTCTCCACATCCCAAACTCGGATTGATGTATCAAGAGATCCACTCACTACATGGATGCCATCAAACTACAAGAAATACAGATTATTAGACTAGAAGTATGGGTATTCTTTATACCAATTATAGGACTGTAATACTAATGGGGTTGACAAATGACATGGGAAACAGGTAATGCCAAGAACAAAATGGGAACAATATAATCAAGCAAATCTATAAGTGCATACTCTCAGAACTTCTATTAGAAATGCTAATTTCTCATATCCAGTGGCTTGAAACCAGAAGGCTAAAATGGTAAACATTTTCAGTGTTGACTATTTCAACATGACTATACGTGGTAGCTACATATTACGCATGATTCAGCCATGAATGTCATTTGAGCTTTAGTTCCAAGTCTGAAGTTGAAACTACTGACATAGCTGTGATACAGGCTATGCGTATCAGCACCCTCACACATGACACTCAAAAGTAAGTTCAAGTAAAAACTGTACATGGAAGTTTCATTTATGGAAACCCATTGCTAATTAATAAGTTTTCCAGTACTTCCATTATACCAACCCTAAACCAAACCAAACAAACTGCCATTGAATCAATTCTGTATAAAGGTAACCCTATACAGGGATTTCTGAGATTGTAAATCTTTATGGAGCTGGTGGGCTTGAACCACCAACCTGCAGTTAACAGGCTAACACTGAACCAACAGTGCCACCAGGGTTCCTTCCAGCTATACGAAAGGTCAATAAGCATTGATCAATTCCAAGAAGAAAGATATATAATAATGTTGCTTTTTTTTGTTTTTGAGCCCAACACAACTGTTTATTAAATCAGAATTATTATTCGCATTAAAGTTCTGAGCACATCACAAAACATAAAAAGTGTGGTCAATTCACTCTCCTCCAAAATCATCACCTTCTCTAATTTAATAAACTCATTTATTACAAATTTCATGACGTGGATAATATTTCACTAATTAACAAATATATACCTTAAGACCAGAATTGTCAGCACTGTGTTGATGTACTAATTACACTAATGGGCAGTAACTGGTAAGTAAAACTATATAAGTAATAGAAACCATTTCTAAATTGAAAATGCGGCTTTCAGAAAATAAAACAAGACTTAATTTCTAAACTTGCTATTAATCTAGTTATTTACCTCAAAATCTGGCAACCTACTCAAGGAAATCAGGTTTAAATATAAACAAAGCTATCAGTTTTGTCAAATTTATTTTTATGAGTACAACCAATGACCCTGGGATGGTAGCAGCTTTCTGCAAAAAGACTCCAATTCTACTTTGAATTGAGATAGAATCACAATTACATGGTCCATCAACCTTTAGTTATCAAGGCAAAGGAGCAACTTTGGCCAAATTAATCCTCTCCTAAAGAGTTTATTAAAATCCAGGTTATTCTCTAATGAGGATGTCTAATCATTAATTAATACTGCAAAACTTAAAGCCCCTACGTTTCAGGTTCTAAGTCAAATATTTACATTTGAGAGAGAAAATGGATCAGAAGAAATTGACATGATTACACCATATGTAAGCTCAGACTTTATGCTTTCTTCATACACATTTTAAAGTACATATAGGAAAAGTAGGATAAGTTGATCCATCTTTTTGAACTGTCACTGGATCAGCAATTTGACTAAAACAATCTTATGACTCATCAACAGAGCATCTAAACAATGGGAGAGATACAATATCTTACCTGTAATGAATAGACTCGATTAGTATGCCCCTGCAATGTGTGTAGACAGGTCTCAGTCTCTGGATCCCACACCTTCACCATAAAATCATATGCTCCACTAACAACCCTCCTGCCATCATACTGAACACAGCGGACCGCTGCTACATGACCCATCAAAACATGTAAACACTGGCCTGTCTCAATATCCCAAACCCTAAGAGTGGCATCTCTGGAACCACTAACAACTCTGTTGGGGAAAACAGAAAATAATGTTTTAGAATTCCTGATAACATGAGAAAACATGACATATAAAATGAGTGATCTGGATATATAAACATATAATGAATAGTGAAGTTACTCTGCTTGGGATAGAAAGTTAGGTGGCCTTGAAATCTGTCTGCTTATCCTCCTTGACTATGAGACAGCCAGCAGCACATCACGGCTCTGGTGAACACAGTTTGAAACCACTGTATTTAGAGCAGGCTCTAAATATAACGACAAAGAAGTAAAATGCTAATGATAGCAGATATAAAAAATGTTAATAGGAGAACCCTGGGTAGCAGTGGTTTGAAAATAAAAATTTTCTTTTTTGTTTTCTGTCATTTTTGAAAATTTCAATAACGAATTAAATTCAATAATGAATTAAAATTTCAATAATTTCCTTTGAGATTACGTAAAAATTAAACAAAGGTGATTCAACCAAAGGAATTAGATTCTGGAACTTACATGGCTAATGATATATGCTTTACATCCTATGTTCTGGCAAAATTAACCAGTTTCAGAAGTGTCTTCAAACAAAATAAAGACTGCTTATGCGTACAGTGTTTACGTTTCTTTGATAGGCTATTGGGTCATTAAGATATACAGATTTCCAAAAAAATTACAAACACAGAAGAGGCAAAATAAATCCCTTTAAAATTTTGCAGAACATCATTGAAGTTATACTTTTTAGAAGAGTGACTGGAATACTACAGTCATCTATGGATTTCAAAGAAGAAATGAAGACTCAGCTATCTTAGGTCATTCTTAAAAGATAGACTACTGTTCCCATATTTCAAAGAGAAGAAAATCAAAGCACTGTAAGATTTAAGTCAGAACATAATGGCAAAGTTAAATGTTAGGTCTCTTGAAACCTATCCCCCAAATTTTAACAATAGGTCACACTGTTCAAAGTAGATTCAAATTATAAAACCTATTGTGAAATCTACTTAATGATATTTAATAAAGAAGAATTTCAGGGGAGCTTCTAGATTAAAAAGATTAGGAAAAAGGACCTGATAATCTACTAGTGAAAAAGCCAGTGAAAACCTTATTAAGCAGCATCAAAACACCGTCTGACAGAGTCATGGAAGATGAACACCTCAGGTTTGAAGACCCTCAAGACACGACCTGGGAAAGAGCTGCCTCCTCAAAGTAGAGTCAACTATAATGACATGGAGGGAGAAAAACTTTCTGGACTTTCATTTGCTAATGTAACACAACTCAAAATGAAAACAAAAAGCTGAAAATATCCATTAGTAACTGAAATATAGATGTACAAAGCATGAATCTAAGAAAATCAGAAGTTGTCAAAAATGAAATGAAATGCCTGAAGATCTATATATACGAGCCATTAGTGAGCCGAAGGGGTATTAGCCATTATGAATTGGACAACCATTGGTCTACTATGAGGAAATGACACACTGTAAAGGAACAACTTCACATTCATTGTCAAAAAGAATATTTCAAGATCTATCCTGGATTACAACACTGTCAGTAACAGTACAAGTAATATTCAAATTTATGTACCAATCATTAATATCCAAGATGAAGAAACTGAAGATTCTGACCAACTGTTACAATCTGAAATTGATCTAACATACAGTCAAGACGCACTGACAATTACTAGTGTATGCAAAAGCTGGAAATAAAAAGGAAGGGGTTATAAACGGAAAATACAGCCTTGATGATAAAAACAACTTCACAGATCGCATGACAAAATTTCACAAGACCACTGAACTTATTTACTGGAAATACCTTTTTTTTAAAAAAGAAAAGTTAAGTACTGACTATACAAGTGGACCTCACCAGTGGAATAGACAGGAATCAAATCAACTCTATCTGTGGAAAGAGATGCTGGAGAAGCTTAGTGTCATCTGTCAGAACAAGGCAGGGGCCAATTGTGGAACAGACCATCAATTGCCTATAATGCAAGTTCAAGTTGAATCTAAAGAAAATGAAAACAAGCCCAAGGTAGTCAGAGTACAACCTTGATTATAATTTACATGAATTTAAAGATGATCTCAAGAACAGAGTTGATTAACTGAACACTAATGACCGAAGACCACAAGAGTTGCAGGATAACATCAAAGACACCAAAAGGTCATTAAAAACTCAGAAAAGATCAAATGGATGTCAGAGAGACTCTGAAACTTGCTCTTGAACATAGATTAGCTAAAGCAAAAGGAAAAAATGATAAAAGAGCTGAAAATTCAAATGATGATTCAAAAAGACAAAGTAAAGTATTATAATGAAATGTGCAAAGATTTTGAGGTAGAAAATTAAAAGGGAAGAACATGCAAACCTCTAGCTGAAATACTAAAGAAATGTGTAAGGCACTGTAAGATAAGCACTGGTCTGCTAACCACAAGATCAGTGGTTCAAACCAATGGCCCTTAACAATAGGTAAAATATTGAACAATGCAGAAATCGTCACAAGAAATTAGGAGAAATACACGAGTTACTGTGCTCCCCAAAATTGTTCAATGTTCAACCATTTCAGGAAGTAACTTACTATCAAGAATCAATGTCACTAAAGGAAGAAAAAAGCTCAAGCTGTACCGAAGGTATCGGCAAAACACAAGGCTCCAGAAACTGAAGGAATACCAACTGAAATGTTTCAACAAGTGAATGAAATGCTAGAAGGTACTCATTTTTCTATGCAAGAAATCTGGAAGTCAGCTACATGGCCAACCAACTGGAAGAGCTCCATATAAATGCCTATTCTAAAGAAACTGTGATCCAACAGAAAGTAGAAATTATTGACAGTATCACTAACATCACAAATAAGTAAAATTTTGCTGACGATAATTCAAAAACGTTTGCAGTAGTACATCAACAAGAAAATGTCAGAAATTCAAGCCAGATTCAAAAAAGAATATGGAACAAGGATTATCATTTCTGATATTAGATGAATCTTGGCTGAAAGTGGAGAATGCCAGAAATATTTTTTACCTGTGCTTTACTGACTATGCAAAGGCATTTTGACTGTATGGTTCAGAAATTACATATAATGCTGAGAAGATTGGGAATTCAGAATACATAATTGTGCTCATGAGGAGCCTGTACATAGGCTGTCGTTCACACAAAACAAAAGGATACTTCAAGGTTTAAAATCAGGAAATGTGTGCATCAGGGATATAGCCTTTCAAGACATTATACTTATTTAATCTATATACTAAGCAAATACTCAACAACTGGATTATATGAAGAGAACACAGCATCAAGAACGGAGGAAGAGTCATTAACAACACGCTTTATACAGGTGATATAACCTTGTTTGCACTAAGTGATGAGGACTGGAAGTATTTACTGTTGAAGATCAAAGACTGTAGTATGAGCAACATCGCTACATAAAAAAAAACCCCAAAGTACTTACTAATGGACCAATAAGTAACACTGTGATAAATGGAGAAAACCCTGAAGTTGTCAAGGATTTAATTTTACTTGTATTCACAAGCAATGCCCGTGGAAATAATAGTCAGGAAATCAAACAACATATCACACTGGGCAAATTTGTTTCCAAAATATTTTTAAGGTTCTAAAATAGCAAAGATATCACTTTGAGGACTAAGATGCACCTGATCCAAGCCATGGTATTTTCAATCCTCATACCGCAAGGTCAGCAGTTGAATCTACCAGCTGCTCCGCGGGAGAAAGATGAGGCTTTCTGCTCCCGTAAAGATTTACAGCCTCGGAAACCCTGCTCAGGGTCACTATGGGTCGGAACCAACACAACGGCACTTAACAACAACAACATATGAATAACTAATAAGGAAGGCAGAGGAAGAATTGATACATTTGAATTACAGTATTGGCAAAGAATATTCAATATACCATAAACTGCCAGAAGAACAAACAAATCTGTCTTGGAAGAAACACAACCAGAATGCTCCTTAGAAGTAAGGATGGCGAGCTTCTTCAACTTTCTTACTTTGGACATGTTATTGGGAGGAACCAGTCTGTGCAGAAAAAGTACATTATGTAAGGTAAAGTAGAGAGTCAGCAATAAGAGAAAGACCTCAATGAGATGGATTGACACAGTGGTGGCTGTAACACTTTGATCAAACACAGCAATGATTGTGAGTATAGTGTAGGACCAGGCAGTGTGTTTCATTTATTGTATATAGGGTTACTATGGGTTGGAACTGACTTGATGAAACCTAACAAGAACAGTAAAGAAGATTCTATGGCTAGCATTAAAGGTAAAGACTGTAGTGAATATACTGTAAGGACCATACAAAGACCTTTTTACAAAGTCCCATGTAATGAATGATATGGTGCATTCAGTTCTTACTTTACTTCAGTGCAAGGAAAGGTCGCAATCCATTCCGAAGATTAAAAAGCTGCCTATGCAGCTAGTGAAGAACAGGTTACAGCCAGGGGTTGGCTCAATTGTTTCCCAATGAGGACAAATTTATATAAACAAAATGAATTTTTGAGCACAGTGCTGGCCCACTCTAAGATACAATCCCCACTCAAAGATGGAGGTTGCCCACACAGCTTTAAATGTGTGGGTTCTACAGTCTTGCCAATAATCTAATCTCCCATTTCTGGATTTCAACCTTTAATTTTTCCTATTCTAGTTGTCGTGATGAATCACCCAAAGTCTGTACTTTTAATTAATCAATCAGCTTATAACAGAACCAATGGGTGTTCCAATGGGTATGAAGCCCTGCTTAAAAGGCTTCACTATTTGTATTGTTGTTGTTGTTAAGTACTGTGGAGTTGGTTCCGACTCATAGTGACCCTGCACGGATTTCCGAGGCTGTAAATCTTTATGGGATCAGAAAGCCGCATCTTTCTCCCACGGAACGGCTGGTAGTTTTGAACTGCTGACTTTAAGGTTAGCAGCCCAATTCATAACCACTACGCTGTATAGTGGGTTCAAATCATCACCACAGCAAGTGGCATGAGGGACTAAAAACCTGGTCAAGACGCAGTTCCTACTCTTAAGGTGCTATGTGGTGTGGGCTGAGAGGGTGTAGGGGGGAGATACTCAAATGAAGAAGAAATCCCATTTGTGTAGGGGCTGTATCATGAAGATAGAAAGATAAAAGAAATTTTAACAGGAGGGCTTCACTGGAGGAGACAAAAACAACAGCAAAGGCACTCAGAGGAAAAGGGCAGGTAGTACAGTTTGGCTGAAATCATTTTGTCAATTGGACGAACGAATTTGGTAAGCAACAGAAGGTACCCGAAGTCTACAGAATGGGAGGGTGAGATATGTTTATGTGACAAGTAATAAGAGAAGAAATTAAAACCCATG